CTTGACCACTACAATTTCAAACCTTTTAAAACAAGCGTGAATAGGAATTTTTAGGCCACCATACAATCAGTTAAGATGCTATTACCACCTCACATCAATGGAGATCTTGGCGAAGCGTAGGCCTATTATCGCAAAAAACATAAGATTATAATTACACTTTAGGTAAGGAAAATATTTATGGAAAACCTTTAAAAAATATTAATGCTTCTATTCTAATAAAAGACGTTTTTTATTTCTTCTTACTTATTGTACTCCACCCCGACTGACAGCAGTGCGCCTTGTTAGTGACGAATAAGCTCTGTGACCGACTAATGGCGAAAAATACATCCAAATAATTGGCGAACCTAAATCTTAGAGACTGGCGATAGGATGGTGCTAGTGCGATTGTACCGACTTTGAGATCTTTGACTCACCTATCCAGTTCGGTAAGTAGGTATGGGTGGATATTTCAAATAATGTGTAATTGGAAAAATACTTCAAAAGACCTGTTCAGTTATTAAAAAAATCAATAACATTTGTTATGTAAGTACTGGGAACAGACACAAGATTTTAGTACCAGTTACTCGACTCTAATGAGTCAGTTATTCATTCCTGGGGCGCTTGTACAACAAAATCCCAGAAAATATACTAAATTTGACCTACTCAAAGTTCAAAAACTTTATTAAACAAAGGAATTTATGGATGATTGCTACCTAGCTATTTCAAATATGTTTTTTGTAGTTAATTTTGTGACATATATAATTGTAACCTGTTTTTCTTTTTCAAAAAAGAAGCCACACTAGATTTATTGCTGGTTCTTCACAAGACGGGTTATTTTCAGAAACAGTGGTTATTATGTAAACAACAGAGTGATTTTAATAAGTATTATTTATTATTTATATTGAATTAAAAACTTTCTCTTTCTGTTTCAGCAGCTGAATCAGCCCCGGATCTTCAACTTTTTTTTAGGTGGGGCAAAAACTGCAAAATGCCGCCCCACCCACTTATATTTATTTTTACCTTTATAATCTTTTTAATTTTAGCTATCAGATGGCCACTAATTGATTGGACATAGGCCTTCAGTAAAAAATGCATCCATCGCTGTTCTTTCTGTGTTAAGCCTATTTATTTACAGATATATGAACATGAATGTGTAGGATATATATTTTATACATAGCACAGGATAGGATTTAAAATCAAAATATGTATTGAATAAAACTAAATTTACGGATTCTAGCGCGTTTATTTTACTGACTTTACTTATTTTTAATTCCCGACGTTTCGGGTGCTTTACAGCAACCATGGTCACGGGGGCACTGAGATGTTTGACGTCCCAATGTCATTGTAAGACCGGCTACCTTCAGTTTTTGAATATTAATTTTTGGTCCGATTTACGCAAAACGAACTTACAGTATCTTGAAGTCCTGCAGCGATATGCTTGGGTTTGGGTTTAATTTTGTTAAATATTGGATCCAAAGCAGATGGCAGCACCCAACCATCTTCTCTATTGAAATTAGGATGTTTTTTTTTAATTTCAATAGCTTCGCGTATCATCCTTGGTAGGAATCGGTGTGCTTTTGCGACGATTTGTGGTTCATCAAATCTGATGTAATGGTGGGGACGATCTTGAACATGTTCACAGACTGCAGAATTCCCGGAGCGTCGGTGCTTCACGTCAGCTATATGTTCTTTCACGCGGGTTTTTATGATCTTTTTGTTTGACCTATGTAAGAGAGACCACATTCACAATCTAACTTGTACACTCCTGCATCTTTAGAGGGATATTACACTTGATGGATGGTAAAAATTGACTAATCTTCTTCGGCGGCCTTGTAGTATGTTTTAATGAAAGCTCGCTTCAAGATGTAGCCAACCTTGTCTGTGACTCCTTTGACATATGATAGTACAGCAGACACACGTTCGACTGTGGCCGGCTTCACTCGATCACTGTGACGTAGGCGCGGGATCCGAAGCTTGTTGTCTTGCAACACTTGCTTGACGCTCCAGATGTTTTCTGTCACAGATCCCTCGTGCTCTCTGAAACAAATATTTGCCCACGGTAGCTAACTGTGAAGGATGATGGTGAGATTCACCATTCAAATATCGGTTGGTATGGGCCTTTTTTCTATACACAGTGTGACCAATAGTGTTATCAGGATTTCGAATCACTAAAACATCTAGGAAAGCTAAAGAATTATTTGCCTCTAACTCCATTGTGAATTGTATTTTAGAGTTTATAGAGTTAAGGTGGTTTAAAAATGCAGTTACTTTGTCAGATGGTAAAATTGTGAAGGTGTCGTCTACGTACCACTTGTAGAATCTTGGATTTACAGGAGCAGTAAGAAGGGCTTTCTCCTCGAAGTCCTCCATAAATATGTCGTCGACTATGGGAGATACAGGTGAGCCCATCGCCACACCATCTACTTGCTTGTAGAACTCTTCCTTCCACAATAGATAGCCAGATGTGAGGCAATGTTTGAGTAATACTGCATACTCAGCAGGCACGTTGTTATCTTCTAGCTTTCCTAGTTACAATTGAGATGCAGTCTTCAATAGGTAGGCATGTGAATAGTGACTGAACATCAAAACTGACCATAGTTTCATTGTCAGCGAGATATAGGTCTTTTATCTCACTAACAAAATGGTATGAATCCTTTGTGTGTGCTTTGGTATATCCTCTCAGTGGTGACAGTAATTTTGCCAAGTGTTGTGCCAGCTTATAAGTTGGTGAATCGATCTGGCTCACTATAGGACGTAGTGGAGCGTTTGGTTTGTGTATCTTCGGTAACCCATACAACCTTGGTGGTTTGGTACATGATGGTATTAGCGAATTCATGTACCAATCTAATTAACCGATTCAAGTAAGGTGTTCGACCCTCTAGGTCTTCTTAGTCCACTCACTATAAAACCTAAAATTCTAATTCAAAAATTATGGTTATCCAAAGTCAACTGGGATGACCCAGTGTCTGATACTATCAAACAGGAGTGGTTCTACTTCATACAAAAATTACCTAGCTTACTTACCTTGCGAATTCCCAGGCATGTCATGGGTGATCTTACTACGTCTTTAGAGCTCCATTGTTTTTGCGACGCATCGCAGACCGCATACGCGGCGTGCATCTATATTAAATCTACGAACGATGACGGCGATGTCAAGGTACAGTTACTATGCGAGATACTAAACCCAACACTATACCGCGCTTGGAGCTCCGCGCCGCTCTTCTGGGTGCTCAGCTCGCATCCGCCGTCACTAATGCTATGCGTTTGCCTATTTTTCGACACTATTACTGGACGGACTCATCCATAGTCCTCGCCTGGCTTCACACCGCGCCTAGCAAATTACAAACTTTTGTAGCCAACAGAGTCGGTTCCATCAGTTCCTTATGTGGCTCGAGTTCGTGGCGTCATGTGAGTGGCGTTTTGAATCCCGCCGACCTGCCCTCGCGCTGAGTATGTGCCGACCACCCGCAGCACCTGTTCCTGTGGTGGCACGGCCCAGACTTCCTCATGCTGCCGACCTGTGACTGGCCTGTTGTAAAAATAGAGTTAAACTTACCGATATGCTGCAGCCTGAGGAACTACTCGATCATTTGAAAAGCTAGCATATCTCTCTCAGCGTGAATCTTTTCCTGACGAATTAAAATTATTACAAAATAATAAGCCATTACACCCTACAAATAGTATTTTACCTTTAAGTCCGTTTCTAAGCGATGGTTTAATCCGTGTGGGGGGCCGCCTCGATGAATTCTCCTACTCGTTCGATAAACGACATCCTATCGTAGGCCACGGCAAGCATCGCTTCACTCGGCTGTCGTCCGTACGTCGCACTGTGTAGCCCGTCGCTGGCAGAGATGTCGCTCGTTCTGTCTATCGTCAGTGTCAGATGCCGTAGATTTGCTGCTAAACCAGTACCCCCTAAAATGGGAAACTTACCTTCCGTTTGCGTAGACGCTGGATTTACTTTTATTAGTACTGGTGTAGACTTTGCGAGACCATTTTCTATAGTTAATCGTAAAGGTAGAGGCTGTAAAATCGTAACTAAATGCTATTTATGTTTATTTATTTGTATGAAATATAAATGCCTGCATTTAGAAGCGGTGAGTGATCTCAGCAAAGATGCGTTTGTACTAGCTTTACGTCGGTTTATATCTCGCAGAGGAAAGCCGTCAGATATCTAATGTGACAACGGCACGAATTTTGTGGCAGCCTCGAAAGAACCAGGTAATTTTTTTAAACACGAATTCTCGTTCCATTTCCAATTTTGCTTCAAACGAAGGCATAAAATTTCATTTCTCCCCGGCTTATGCGCCGGACTTTGGCGATCTATGGGAGGTGGACGTAAAATCCGCTAAATTTCATATTAAACGAATCCTTGGTTCCACACATTTAACTTTTGAAGAGCTGGCAACTTTATTTAGTCAAGTTGAATCCATCCTGAACCCGCGAAAGGAATAGCAGTTTGTTGATAGATACAATACAGCATCCACAACGATATGCAGGATCTGTCTCCATTTTTCTTTTTCGGATTTATGTGTGTTATTATGGATTTAGTGAATTACTTTCTCAATATCTTGATCAATACCCTGGGATGATTTCATGTGTTGTACACGTGTTTTCCACTTGACCATACACTCTTTGTGCATTTGAGTTGCCTCATGTTCAGTTAATTTCTCTGAAACTTTTTTCAATTAATAAAACACAATGCAGATGTGGAAGTAGAAGACGGTTTCTGGTAAATCTTGCAGCACGCACAAAAAATTGCATTTTTTTACTTAGAATTTATAAGCTAAGATCTTTTAACCCTTTCGCAATTAGCCAGGCAACGCACCTGCAATTCCCCTGGTGTTGCAGTTGTTCATGGGTGGCGGTAGTCACTTCACATCAGGTAAACCGTATGCTCGTTTGCCCCCTCGCCTATAAATAAATATTTAAAAAAAGCCAACGTCCTGTACCACATTGAAGATGTAAAATGTCTGCCATTGCGTTCAGTAGATCTAAATTCAATGTTTTCGGAGTGATTTTTAATGACTTCTAAACAAAGACCGTTGTTGGTCAGTAATTTTTTCTAACCATGGCCAATTTCCTGGGTCCGTCAAATCAAATCCGGTTTTTTGCACTTCATTCGAATCCGAGTGCGAGGACTTAGATTCTTCGTATTCTGGCTTTGTTTTTTCAAGTTGTTCTGGTCGCACTTCGCACATCGATAAAGATGGTGAAGTTTGCACTGTGAAATTGGACTGTGAAAACTCTTGATCCATTTGATCGCGCAAAGTGCGAGAAATATCCTCTAAATGAATATCAACTTTGGAAGTTGCATTAGATACTGACGGGTACGCCCTCTGCGAAGCCAATTTTTCATAATATGTGCACATTGTTTTCCCTGCAATTCCTTATATTTAGCCTTTTTCCTATATTCCGCTCCTGATAGCTTTTTTTTGGCGCGCTCATAATTACAACTTATAAACAAAAATAATAAATTTCTTTGTTGAAAACATTTTAACCTAATAAATATTTTTCATAAATAAATCGACCGGGAAACAAGATTATTGCATGGAACGATTATATTTTGAACTCAATATAATGTAGGTACTACGATCTGACTGAAATTTCACTAATACTACAATTTACGAGCGGATTAATGATATCGATTAGTGCGCGTGAGCGCGTGGCAACCACCCGAGTTATAGGTACCTACGCGCCGTCGACGGCGTATGTAATAAATAATAATAACGGCTGCTTATTCATTTTAAACTGCTGCATTGCATTGTATTGTATTAATACTTACTTTACTTCTCAACCATCCGATAGCTGCCATCGCGTAAAAAACAAAACACGACACTCACAACGACGTAAAATTTTTTAAGTAAAAGTTTAAATAACGACGAATTGACGACGTAAGTGATTGCACGTATTACATTGAATTTAAAAATAAATATAGTAACTTAAAAAACTTAACATACTTAGTTATGATAAAATACTTACCCAGAAAGACGGTCGATGAGTTGTGCTAGATTTATTGATGCGACACCATCGAGATAATATACTATGTACTACGCACCAGAGCGGCTATCTGTAAAAAAATTTTTGAAGTAATTATGGTTATTTTGTAACTTTACCCCAGCTTCAGCACTAAAAAAATATTATGCCGTCTAGTTAAACGTCACACAACAAGTAGCGTTAGATTGCTGAAAGGTGTAGTTAGCAAGCTCAATGACAGCGAGAAAAAAGTCGTAAACGCTGCCGAAACGGCGTCGCTTACTCGTTTTGTTCAACAAGGTACGAAGCTGTCGTGTGCCTATAGAATAAACAAGCAGTGAATAACGGCCAAACCTCAATTTTGAAATAGGTATTTTGCACGTGGTAGAGCCATGTTGCAGTTATATTAGTAGGTAGTATAGTTGTAGCAATAATGGGTCGGCTCGACCGGGGAAGGACCACGCTCTCACAGAATACCAGCATGAAATGGTAGCTTTATGCTGCCGTGTTTCGTAAGTTGAGTGTAGAGAACCGGAGACCCTTTTTACTGGAAATGAGGCATTCCATCTTAGTCCTCACGAGTGACAACGCATCTGAATTTTGTTCGTAAACGAAGATAAATTTAGATGTCTATGGGCCACAGCAACCACTTACCATCAGGTGGAACGTGTGCTAGTTTGTCAGCCTATCCTATAAAAAAAGGTAAAACTGATAAAAATCTTTTTGTAATTAGTGAGTACTATATAAGGTATATCGAAAAGAGTATACACATTCGAAGGAAATTTATCTGCTCGTCGTAAAAATTAGTGGCTGTCCCGTACTTTTAAAAGTACATTAATAATGTCGAAGATTTCTTGATTTTCATATAGAAATGGCAGCCTCGTGGCAGTGGCAGTAAATTAGTATGAAATATTAAATTTAGTTGTTTTTAGCACATGTTTTGTTAACCCACTAGTGATATGTCACCCCAACATCTTTTTTCTTCGCAGTTGAAGCGTTTTTGCGTGTTTTTTAGACGTACGACGGCATTTTTTAATTTCCGTGTAGTCAAAATCTAGACAAATTGTCTCGCTGAGCGTAGGAGAGCGATTGAATGAGTTGTTGCCACTCAACACACTCAACGCGCAACAACTCACGGCACAAATATTTTTACGCGTTGTCGTTTCTATGCTATTTAATTCTATGTGCGACACTAATACAATCAGTATTTTAATTTCAGTTGATCGATAAGTACTAAATTTTAGTAAATAATAAACATAAACAAACTAGTTAAGTTTCGAGAGCGGTGCTGAATATTTTCTTTAAAACTGCAAGTATGTCTTGATGATATTTATTAATATTTCATTACAATAATGTATTAATACTGTCTTGTTTAACTAAGTGATTACATGACTAAGATAAGTTCTATAATGCATTTCATAATATCAATAAATGTAACGACTTATATAGGATGGTCAAAATAGTCTGCTGACTGAAAGTAGACACCTTGGTTTGACCAGGAATAACAATTTTACAGTGGAGTCGGCGTCTTCTGTAAGATTAAACTTCGTAAGATGTTTTCAGTAATTTAATATTAAAAGCTGTACCGATTAGCACACTTCGTGATCAACATGTTGTAAAATTATGGCTAGTTGCAAATATCCTGTTTATGAGTAATCTAATATCAAAAGCTTAATCAGAACAATTTGGAATAAACAGATCCTTTTTTGATATTATATACATAAAACAACCAAACACACATGTTTAAAACAAAATACTGTCGTGGAGAGAGATCGACGAGGGAGTTTTCGAATATAGCTTCATCCCTTTCACACACACGGTAGCTAGACGCGTGCTGCCGCGATATGGGATACCTGTGGGCAAGCGGGTGCGTATTTTGAACTACCCATATGCCTTTTTTTTATAGAAGCATGCAAACGAGCATGCGGCTCACCTGATTTTAAGTGACTACCGCCGCCCATGTACAACCGCAACACAAGGGGAATTGCAGCTGCGTTGCCTGCCCTTTAGAAAGGAGTAAGCTCTTTTCTTGAAGCCTACGCACCTCGCGAATAATAATATTCGTTCAGTGCGTCTCTTCTGTGCGTTCCCTTTCGTGAATTTGGACTCTGAACTAGCCGCCCGGGACATAGGCCCCGGCGTTCCTTCCCCCCCCCCCGGGCCTATGCCTGAGTAGAATATAATGCTTGTAACAAAAAAGCAAAATAAGCCAGTGCTTTTCAAAAAAATTACAACTATATTAAGACCATAAGTTATTGTGTTTTGGAGTAAATTCTAGGATGCATTGTTCTACTAATATAAATCAATAAAAATTAAGTGTCTGTTTGTAACATCAAAATACCAGCTTTTAACTAAATTTATGTGAACGTATATACGGTATATATTGGAAGCCGCTTATTGGTTGACGAAATTATACTTTCCACTGTACGGTAATGGGTCGTGCCTAGAACAGTATTTCTCTAGTCCATCTTATTAATCTTTTTGTACCTAGCGTACATTATCTGTTGATGTTTTTATATTTATATACAGAATGTGTCACATCCCCAACAATTCTCCTACATTCTGAATGAAATAGTCTGCATAAATATCATAATATTGTAGAACCAAAAAGTATGTCTGAAGGCCCTAAAGCACTCTTTAGATAGTCTTAATCGTGACGGGCACGCGACGGTCTGCACTCTGCATTAGAGCGCGTTTGTATCCGCCATTTGCGCAGGGTAGGTTCATATGAGTAAGATAATGTCATAGAAAAAGAAGAACAAAAAAATAACTAAAACGTATTCATTGTTCAATTGCATTAATTTCGCCATTGCTATCAGTCATGAAAATTGGGCTCGTGAAGACTTTTTAAATGCTCTAATAATTTGATAATTTTCAGCTTTGTAACGTCGGGGCCAAGTTTGTATGGGAACTGGGTTTCTCCTTTAAAAAACAAAGAATTTTCGCTTCTATCGTTCGTATATCTTCTATATATCGCACAACATTTTCTTGATTTAATTTTTAGATATCTATACAAATAAATAAAACTGAGTGTTTGTTTGTAATGTCAAAATAACATTTTTTTACTAAATTCATCTAAAAGTATATATAAACGGTAATTTATGCAATAAAAGTTATAAATAACCGTATATATAATTAATACAACTTTTAAAAATTTTGTCCGTCTATCGGTTTGTTTCAGCTGATCTCCGAAATGACTGGACCGATGTTGACGGGACTTTCACTGGCAGATAGCTAATGTTATAAGGAGTATAGTTTTTACAATTCACGAGCTTTGGATGTGGTTTGACAAGTACATGTACAGTCTGACAGTGTGTATATACATGTTGAATCACATCCAAAAGTCGACCTCGCGAATTGCAAGAACTGTAACTTAACCTACTTTTATTTTATAAAAAAAAATTGGGGTTCCGCAAAATAAATTAAACTAATAAAATCCAATTGTAATAAATACCACGCGGGCGAAGTCGCGGGTAACAGCTAGTATGTAATATAATGTCAATTTAGATTAATTTACATCCATTATAATCTCATTCCGCTGCTATGCAAGTAACACTAGCAGTAGCACTGGCTTAAAACCAGAGAATGCAAGTAAAACATGTGGCTTTAAATTATAATATAATGGTTTAAAAAAAAACTTAACACGCGTTAATCATGAATTGTGATGATCTCGAGAATTATTTTATTTTGTCTTGGTTATCCTGATGAGGTTACTTTGATAAAGTAACAAAATTTTTGTATCGTTTTTTTTTCATGCCAATCGGCTGGCTGTCTTTAAGTTGGTAAAAATTCCATTAAAATATTCCATCTAGATAGACAATTACACGCGAAGCTAATAAAAGCGTGTTAAAAATGACCCGGCGAAAATTGAGTTGTAGTAGGCGTGGCTTACTAATTACGCTGCCAACGAGTCCAGATACCGTCACTATCATAATACTTATTATTAATTAAAATATGCTTTGCACCTTATTACATAATATGACCTTGGCGACAAGTGACGAGTATACTCACGTCATTACGAGTATATAAACGTTGTAAATGACGTCATAAAACGACCTTGGCGACAAGTGAAGTGTACAGTCACGTCATTACGAGTATGTGGACGTTGTAAATGACGTCGTAATAAAAAACCAGATAGGGAAATAACTAACTTTTGACTATGCCCCTAAAAATTATATGACCTGGCTAATCAATGATGGTGTTTCAAAGTGTGTGTTTGTTTGAAATATTACAACATAGTAAATGTTGCGCGGCTAATTCCACTCTGAATTAACATCACAGATTAAATAATAGTTGGCAATATTTCCATGTTTTATTTGTGGTCACTACTTATTATAGTAAAACAAATATTTCGAATGAGTTATCATTTTTTATTAATTCAAATTAAAAATGATAC